ATCAGTAGCAAAACGGTGAGATAGCTGACCTTGAGCATATGGAGTGCGGATGACATGGGTAAAGGGAAACGAGAAAAATTTCCCTCTGTAAAGCTTCGAGATTATGTGTCCCATACTATTCGGAATAAAAGTCTATCCACGCATCATTGTTCATCCGCCTCGCCTCCCTCAGGTACTGTTTATCCCATAACACATTTTGTTGATTCTCACCGTTTTTCTGTCAAGCATAGAAAATACATTGCAGCAATTACAGGGAGTTCTGTACCGAAAAATTTTAAGGAAGCCATGAAGCATGAATGATGGAAAAAAGCGATGGCCGATGAAATACAGACACTTGAAGAACAGGGCACATGGGTCCTAGAACCTTTACCACCTGGAAAAAAGGCGCTCGGGAGTAAATGGGTATACAAAGAGAAGTACGATGAGCATGACAACTTGCAGAGATTGAAGGCTATACTAGTCATTTTCGGGAATCATCAGGTTGAAGGTCTAGACTACAATGAAATCTTTGCCCCTGTAGCAATGATGGTGACGGTTAGAACATTTCTTGCAGTTGCAGTAGTGAAGAACTGGGAAGTACATCAGATGGATGTTCATAATGCCTTCTTACATGGTGACTTGGAGGAAGAGGTATACATGAAAATTCCCCTTGGTTTTGACAAAAATAATTCTAGTAAAGTGTGCAGGATGAAGAAGTCATTGTATGGCTTGAAGTAGGCTCCTCGTTGTTGGTTTGCAAAATTAACAACGGCTTTAAAAAAATTATGGCTTTAAACAGTCATATTATGATTATTCTCTCTTTACTCTGACGAGAGGAAAAATACAGCTTAATGTGCTAGTGTATGTTGATGATTTGATAGTTGCAAGCAATGATAAGTCTGCATTGTTACAATTTAAAACATATTTAGGGCATTTCTTCAAAATGAAGGATTTGGGAGTTCTGAAATATATTTTGGGGTTAGAAATAGCCTGAAACCATCAGGGAATTTTCATGTGTCAGAAAAAGTATGCTTTACACATCATTACAGAAGCAGGGTTGATTGATGCAAAACCTGCAGACTTTCCCATGGAGCAAAATCACAGGCTAGCTCTGGCGGATGGGGATCTATTTGATGATGTAGAGAGATATCGACGTCTTATAGGACGGTACGTTTGATTTATTTAGCCGTCACTAAGCCGGACTTGGCCTATTCTGTGCATATTTTCTCTCAATTTATGCAGAGCCCGAGAGTAGAGCATTGGGAGGCTGCTCTGCGCGTTGTGAGATATCTAAAGAAGAGTTCAGGTTAGGGTATTTTGCTAAGGTCTTATAGTGCTCTCGGTTCGGAAGGTTGGTGTGATTCGGATTGGGAAAGTTGTCCATTATCTCGGCGTTCGTTGACAGGTTGGTTTGTGTTTCTTGGTCTATCTTCCGTGTCTTGGAAGACCCAGAAGCAACCCACGGTTGCTATGAGCTCTGCTGAGGCAGAGTACAGATCGATGTCGTCTTGCACTCGTGAGCTGAAGTGGCTGAAGCGGCTTCTAAGAGATTTAGGTGTGCGACATGACAGTGGCATGCACCTATATTGTGACAGTCAGTCGGCATTGTACATTGCGAAAAATCCGGTGTTTCATGAGCGGACGAAACATATTTAAGTTGATTGTCATTTTGTCAGAGTTGCTATTACCGAGGGTCTAATTACTCCGTCCTATGTGCCTACGACGCTACAGTTGGCTGACATTTTCACAAAGGCTTTGGGAAAGGTCAAGTTTGAGTTTTTACTTCGCAAGTTGGGCATATACGATCTGTATGCTCCAATTTGAGGGGGGGGGTATTAGAGATATTCTAGTATGTCTAGGATAATATTGTGTTATTATTGTGCATATTTTTAGGAAACATATCTTGTGTAAAGATATGATAGAATGTTTTAGGGTATTGACTATCCTAGCATTATATATACATGTATTGTGGCCTTTGTTATGAATGAGAAGAATATACAGAGAATTATTTTCATAATTTGCCTCTGATATATATATATATATATCGTGTGTTTTAGAAAATCTAACTCCCGTCTTTTCTATTAAATATAAATAAAAAAATTGTTTATCATAACAAAATATACATTGGACATATACATTATGTGTGGTCCAGATCTACACCACCAAATTAAAGTATAAGTTTAAAAAGATTCGATAAAATATAAAACAAATGAATAAAACAAATATTGCATGTTTACAATAAATCGATTATACAATACTCCCTCCGTTTTTAAATATTTGCTCCACTTTCCTTTTTCGACCGTTTTTAAAAACTTGCTCCATTATTATTTGGAAAGTTTTTACAATATTTAACAATAGTGGACCCATCACATATTTTCTCCGGCGCCTTTTTGGTGCAGCAGGCCACACCGTGTGGCCTGCTTCCAAGTCAGCAAAATAACGGAGAACGACGCGCGCATAACGGGATTAGGAAACAAGCGCTGAACAAAATGACTCTACAAAACACGCGCAAATTTCTAAACCTTAAAACCCATAACAACTCATTTACGAGGAACAAATGCGAAAATTGAGCGAAACCTCACACAAATTTTCTTCCAGAAATTAAAGAATAACAATGGCAGAAGAATTCGAAAAATTACTTGATTCACAAGAATCATTAGAGATCGAACAAATTGAAGATTCTTTGATGAATCTTGAAATCCAAACCAGTAATCAGGTATTGGATCTGGAAGATGAAAACAGATACAATGAAATTGAAGAAATTAACAAGTAACCCCTGTAAAATTAACATGTAACCCCTGTAAAACTAATAACTAACCCCTGTAAAATTAACAAGTAACCCTTGTTAAACTAACAAGTAACCCTAACAATAATTAACAAGTAACCCCTATTAAACTAACAAGTAACCCCTAAAGTAAACAAGTAACCATAACAAAAATTAACAAGTAACCCCTAAAATAAACAAGTAACCCCTAAAATAAACAAGTAACCCTAACAAAAAATAACAAGTAACCCCTATAAAATTAACAAGTAACTCCTGTTAAACTAACAAGTAACCCCTTAAATAAACAAGTAACCCTAACAAAAAATAACAAGTAACCCCTAAAATAAACAAGTAACCCTTATAAAATTAACAAGTAACCCCTGTTAAACTAACAAGTAACCCCTTAAATAAACAAGTAACCCTAACAAAAATTAACAAGTAACCCCTAAAATAAACAAGTAACCCTAACAAAAATTAACAAGTAACCCCTAAAATAAAATAGTAACCCTAACAAAAGTTAACAAGTAACCCCTATAAAATTAACAAGTAACCCCTGTATAATTAACAAGTAACCCCTAAAATAAACAAGTAACCCTAACAAAAATTAACAAGTAACCCCGAAAATAAACAAGTAACCCTAACAAAAATTAACAAGTAACCCCTGTTAAACTAACAAGTAACCACTAAAATAAACAAGTAACCCTAAGAAAAAATAACAAGTAACCCCTATAAAACTAACAAGTAACACCTGAAACTTAACAAAAATTAACAAGTAACCCCTCTAATTCAACAACAAATTCTGTAAAACTAACAAGTAACTCCTAATAAACTACGAGTAACAAGTAATAACCCCCTAAAACTTTACAAATAACCCTTGTAAAATCAACAAGTAACCCCTCCCTATAAAACCAATTCAACGAGTAACCCCTAAAACAAGTACACTGTAATTTTTAAATTAAAAGTAATCCCTACAAAGTAACTATTGTTGTATCTTCTACATTAGCAAGTTCCTCCAGCATCTTCTTAGCAGCCTCCATTTCATCTGTCTTTTTTTCTTTTCATTCTCTAGTAATTCTTCATAAATTGCTTGATTTCTACTCACGAAAATTCTTTTACACCACCAAAAACAATCTCACGATGCTTGTTCAAATTGCAGAGCATAGATGACAAGAAAATCGAAAAATTACTAAAATTAGGGTTTGATTTATATCAGAAGTAGGAGAGTTCAGCGTATATGTCGATCCTTTCTTTATCTTGGGGAAGATTATCTTGATTTTAGTCATTATCAACGAAAAGAACAATTTAGAGGAGAGAGAATTTGAGGAGAGAGAATTTGAGGAGAAGAATTTGAGGAGAGAGAAAATGGAAGAAGAATAGTTTGAGGAGAGAGAAAATGGAAACAGAGAAAATGAGAAAACTTTGGGAAAGAAGAACCTTTTGATGTAATAAAATGAAAAAAAGAAAGACACGTTTTTTTTTTTAATTTAAAATAACGGACCCGTTTGGTATAACGGAGTCCGTTATATAAAACGGGCTGGCCACACCATGTGGCCAGCCACATATAAAAATTTGCCTATTTTCTCTCCTCCAATCCTCTCCACTACTTTTGCTTTTTACAATTTTATATTCTTCCACTTACCCCACTACCTCCATATATTATTATTTTCTCCAAATTCTCCTAAAACTCCGCGCATGGAGAAATGGAGCAACTATTTAAAAACAGAGGAAGTACATAATAATACAGAGTACATGCTTCTTTAGTGGATATTGTTGGTAAACTAGTTCAATGGGTCAAGTCTTGGGTGGGGCGGGTCAATTTTTAATGGATGGGGCAGGTTGGGCATGACATTAATTTTCTTTCTTCTCATTAGATAAACTTGCATGTGACTCTTTGATCACTTTCTATGTATGTCAATGTCATATTCTTCCACCATGAAGAGAATCAAAATAATTAGGGTAAAATAATAGAAAGATCTTGCTAACGAACGCCTTCAGAGCGTTGGATAAGCATTTAAAATCTTATCTAAAGTGGTATTATTAATTTGGGAAAGCATGACAAAATCACACATCGATCGGTGTAATTAATGTTAGTTTTAATTTAATATTTCTACTTTTAACTAGCTTATCCAACGCATCGGGGGCGTTCGTTGGCATTTGCCATAATAGAAATATGATTCAAATAAGTAATTTCTCACATTTTAAAAGTATCCAATATAATTAAAATGACCCGACCCGACCCATTTATTTATTGGACGGATCAGACCCAATTATAACTGGGGGGTACTTTACGGAAATGGGGCTCCAACAATCCAACCCATACAATTGCGAAGAAAAAAAAAACAAGGATGAACTATTGAACATAGCCCTGCCTCCTCCTTCCCTCTCTATCTGAGTTCTCCATTGAAGCGCACTCAACATCGGTAAGCAGTTGTTTCTTTTTGTAATCAATTTCACAATCGTGGGTTTAATTTAATTGTCAGTGCAGTAAGTTTTGGGTTCGAAAATCTCAAGAAAATTATGAGCATAATTTGATAATTGAATCAAAGTTTGTTGCTAATATATATGTATTGCACTACCCTTTTAATGTTATGATTCAACTCTGAAATTAATTAGATTTCTTCTGATTGAATACTACCTCTAAAATTGTATTTTGATATCCCAATTTACAACAAACTCAATGGCCAAACCTAGTGTTCTGGAGATAAAATTATCTAAAAAGGTTACAACTTTGAACTAGATTTATAGGTATGTGTATTTTTTATGAGCCAAAAGAGTCTAAAATTATCTAAAAAGGTTACAACTTTGAACTAGATTTATAGGTATGTGTATTTTTTATGAGCCAAAAGAGTCTTGGCTTTGATGAATGGCTAGTCTTGTGAGTTATGCAGGGATAAATCTTTGTGAGCTTTCAGGGCTCTAGTATACTTGTCACATCGCTTGACATGAGCCACAATGATTGAGAATAGTACTAGGATGAGTGACCTTCTGAGAAGTCCTCGTGTTAGTTCATGTAGCCGACCCAACTTATGGGATTAAGGTGTTAAAGCAGCAGCAGAAGAAGAGTATACTTGTGTGACAGGGTTTTTGCTATCAATGATTCTTAGACACTCAGACCTACCTTTGTAATACCATCTGTAGCCCCTTATATTTTTTGAGTTTGCCTTCATTCTCCCATTTTATTTTTTTCCTTGACAAGAAATTTTTGTTAAGATCTTGAAACTTGGATTCCGTCTTCTCTGAAAGGCAATTTTCTACATGAATTCTCAGAATTTGCTGAAAGTCATTGTGGCAGTCGCTTACTTTATGATCTGAATCATACATTAGTCTGTATCATCACACTTTGCGGTTTATAAAATTTACTGTGTGTCCTAAAATGATTGTCAATTTAGGGTATGCAAATCTCTTAAATTGTCTCTAGGCAAAAAATTGAGTACAGTATAGGATGGTTGATTTGGATAACTAAGTAGCATTTTCATAATGGGATCTAGGTGCAATTAATACTAGAAGAAAAAAAATACTCTCCTCACCATGTTTCTCCGAGCTAATTAGATATTTGAATCAAATTTGTCTGATGGAACTATGAAATTAAACCTTTCTCTTTAAAATTATGTGATTTATTGAGCCTAATTTTCTTATAGAATCAAATTTGGTTGCTACCCTTATATGTTAAGATCAAACTATGAAATTGGGACTTTTCTCCCAGGGCTGCTCTGTAGTAGAGGTTTATCTTTTACTTCCCAAATTGAGCAGGGTAAGTTAGGAATTGTTTTTTAGGGTTTAGTTCACACCAGTTCATTTGCAAATCTCATTATCTGTCATTCTCGTTGGTCCTTGGATCATGGACTGCCCCTCCTGTCCTGCTTCAGGGTTGGGCCTGGGTATAATCACTCATATTGGGTTGGTTTTGGATAATTTGTTCACGGTAGGTTTGTTTTCAAAGAAGTATATTAATGATTGCTATTTATTATATGATCTAAGCTCTTAGCGGTATTGTAATATAGTAGTAGGTATATTTGATAATATAAGGATTTATTGATTGGTTTAGTTTTGTGCTAATTTGTCAGAAAACAAAAGGATGCCTCTGGGATTGTTACTTGGGCTTGGAAGGTCTATGCGCAGGAAGCGTACATCATCACTTGATATCCTTTCTTCAAAGAGGGCGCCAAGGAATTACTATAAGGGAAAGAATTGCAAGCCCACTGGATTTCACACCCGCAAAGGTCTGATCCTTCTTTAGTCCTATGTGTTTTTTTTGTCCTTGATCATATGTATGGAACTTGATTTATTCCCTGCTGTACACAAGCATATTCTGGCTTACCTTATCTAAGCTTCCGGATCATTCAGCAACCTGTATTTGTCTGTGTATGGTTCCTCTGGTTTGTCGTAGTAACTTGAATTTTGTTACAGGTGGCTATGTTGTGGTGCAAGAAAAGCTGCCCAACTACGTAGTTCCTGATCTTACTGATTTCAAGGTACTGTTTGTTTGTATCTAATCTGCACTAGCAAATTTTTTTTTAATCTTTTATTGAAGAATTTTGATCCTTTCCAATAACAAACCCTGCCGTTGTGGAATGGGGCAGTGGCGGATTTAGTATGGGTTTGTTCTGGATCTGGAAATAATTTGATCAGTTATAAGTTTTTCAGAAATTAGTTAAAAACAATACAGCATGTTTCATTTCTAACAATTCTTTAAGAAGTCTAGTGGGCTGGAAGTCTTACTTTTATACCAAAGGTCTTGTTCGAGTATTCCCAGCATCCATTTATTTTGTTTTCCCTCCTTTTTTGGCTTTAACTTCCCTGATGCTCCAATAGTTAACATCCATTACCATGAATTCGTTACCCAATACATCAACAAAACCTAACCATGAATCCATCTCTCAAAAACCATGAAAATTTAGTCACGTTTATTCAGATTTTTTTCCCCCAGTTTAGGAAGATGATGTGATAGATCGTTTGCAAAGCTTGAAGACTCATCGAGTTTTTTTTTAACATGTGCACACCTGTATTTTTTATTGTAATTGTATTATGGCTTATGCTATTTGATTTTGGTACATGTGTTTAGTGACTCCAAACCTAGAACAAAAATTTTATGGATTCGACATTAGAATGCAGCAAGGGCATTAGATTATAAGGGACCTCATGTCCATCTTGCATGTTATTGATGAGTAGCTTTATCTCGTGATGCTAACTGATAATCTGATATGTGTGTCAAATCGACTCAAATGATGTAGAAATTATGAACTTTCAAAATAGTTTCTGGTTAGTGGTTAGAGATTAATTTGGTGAATTTGTAGATTGAAGGCTAAGATGGGAGCTAAATTAGAAGATAAGCTCAAGCTTTCTTATTGGATAAAGTGATAAATTCAATAAGTTGGAATGGTGATTACTCTGATTATGCAGTAGGATTGATGATGATGCCATGAAATATGTGAAACTCCTTTGTAGATCTCTCTAGCTTTCTTTTGCCGTATAAGAGTCTGGCAACATTTCTTCCTTTTAACATTGTCAAGTGCCTTGTCTCTCTAATTCATCTGATATTGGCACTATGCCAATAGAAACTACTACTGTAAAATACAATCCGACAAATCTATACTTCTAATAGAAGTCTCTTAAGTTTCAATTGTTATGATGATCTACTCTTCCTATTTTTCTCGCAACCATCTTTACAGTTGCGTTAAGGCCCTTGTTCTGCATTGATGTTTCTTAAGTGTCTGTAGTGCAGTATTTGACCTCTATCATGTGTTGGCCTGTGCTCATATTAACGAAAAACCTCTATGGTAGAAAAATCTTATTTTGCAAACATAAATTTACTCATCCTTCTAAAATAGTGAACTTTGTGCTTATATCTGTTTGTTGGAAGTTATTTGCATTATTGATCCAATCTTTGACTACTGTGAAGAACTATGTTGTGAAATTAAAACACAAGTTTCCAGCCTCTCGGCTGAGCTCATAACATTTTTTTTTTCTTTTGCAGCTGAAGCCATATGTTTCTCAGTGCCCACTGAACGCCAAGACAACTGCTAATACTGATGTATCAACATAGATTGGCAACACTAGAATGATCTAAACCTTCAAGTTGTTAAGCTGCTTCGCAATCAAGAGTTACTGGATATAATTTTCAGGCAAAGACGTCAATGAAGCTGGATGTAGAATTGACTGTCTTGTTTGTTTAGCCATCATTCTTGGTTTAGAAAAACACAAATTGTATGAAAACTGATGGTCTAAAGAGTTCCTGGTTTGGTATTAGAGTGAAAACATTTCAAAGTTTATTATCTAATTTTTTAGGATGTGTGCAATAAGGTATTCCATCCATTTAGAATCAATAATTGAATATGCCATTTTGAGGCTCTAGCATTGGAAAATTTTACTAGTTTTTTTTTTTTTTTTTTTTTTTTTTTTTTTTTTAAACAAAGAGTACTATTAATGAAAAGCATGATTACAACCTAAACTAAGTAAAGAAAGCAAAATTACACTATAAAACATTGGGGGTTGGAGCAATAACTTCTTACGTTTAGGAAAACAAGTGTACTCGGTGGGACATAATGTTGTTCTTCCGCTTAACCTGCAAAACAAAGAGTTAGCAAAACATGTTGGAGACCTACTTTGCAGAGTGGTATATTTCCTTCTAAAAACCTGGGACGGGAAGATGAGAAAATACCCAACAATAATGCAGTGGAGGAAGTTCTTAGGTGAACGTGAGTCTGCAGAGGGTAAGAAAAAGGCAAAAATGGTAGGAGTATTGACGCAGCTTCACATGATGACTCGTGACCTGCCATACATATGGATGGATCTTCTTGCATCAAGTCTGGAGTTGCTTCACAACTATCGTGCCCTTCCACAAGGGGGGTGACTAAACTCCATTGGTGGAGAAACTTCTTGAATTTCACCACTATCCATCTTATTTAAACGATTGGCTACTCGGATGGTAATGAAATTCTTTTGGCGAGAACAGAAGCATTGGATTGTTTTCCCTTTGGAAATCGCTCCATACATTGTTGGAGTGAGATTCAAATAGGAATCATTTTGCTTCCGGCTTGAGAACCGAAAACTTGACCCTGTTGGATTTGGGTTTTTTGTTTTTGAAGTGCCCTTCAAAACACAATTGTTATCAATAACATTAGGCCTCAGATCTTGGTTGGTAGGCTTGACTTTACTCTCCAAATCCAAAGAATTGCCATCAACGTCTTTTTCCTTTTTGGTGTCGTTTTTCACACTTGAACACCTACGAACATGACCATCATCACGACCATCTCCTTCCTTTCTTTTCCCTTTTTTTAATTACTTCCTACCATTATCTTCCTTCCCACAACGAACATAATCTCTAAACTTCTCATCTTTACTTGTTACTGCTAGTGCCTCATCAACAAAATTCGGAAACCAACCCAAACCCAATAAGGATATCACCTCCTTTAGTTTTTGTTGGGACTCACAATTATTAGGATCTATTTTAAGGGCTTGTGCAAGGTCCATGAAAGCTAAGGTTTGTTTATTGAGCCCTAATGCAGCAATCGCCCTTCTATAGTAAGCTTTCACATTAGTAGTATCAAAACACAAAACCGCTGAACATAATTGACCCACTCTATCATAGTCTTTTACCTTGATGAAGCAAGCACCCAAGTTTAGATTAAGGGACACATCAGTGCCCCCGAAAACATCAATTTTTCCTCTTCATTACAGACTGAAGCAAAGGACAACATTTTAAGAGCAATAGAGTATTTTGCAATAGCAGACCCCATTTGATTTTGCTTGTAGAACATGTTTCCCTCATCTTTTAATCTCTTAACAAAATTGAGAATCCCAAAAGGTTCCTCCAACTGCCCAACTGAAAACTCTAACTCATGGGAAGAGACATCATTCTCTTCAACATGTGAAATACACAACATACCCCTTAGTTCCTCAAAACTTGCCATAAAGATTGAAACAAAGCAGATTAAAACAACAAAAGAAAACAAAAAACTCAGTACTAAAATTAGGCCAAATCGCGACCGTCTCTGACGGTTGTTGAAAATAGTAAAAACGGTCGTCAAAATTAATTGCGACCGTCAACGGTCGGCAAAAAAACATAATCACGACCGACTGACAGTCGCAGATTTTTTGCGACCGTTTTTAATATTTTCAATGATCATTTGGAAAACGGGCGCAGATTTTATTATTGCGATCGTTTTAAGCGGCGGTTGCAAATCTTGATTTTAGTGACCGCTTATGGTCGTCGCTAAAATTAAAATAAAAAACAAAAAATATTACCTTACCTATACTTCACAGCCAACCCCACCACCACTACCCACCTTACAACACCACCAGCCACCCCGAACACACCACCTTCACTCCTATAAATCTCACCCAACCACCACGAATTGCCACCTGCCCACCACAAAAGCCTCCCCATAAAACCTCTACCCATGAAAATTCACACCACCACCGCCACTTACCACCACCACCACCAACAAAATACACAAATTAGACCGTAAAAATCCCACAAATTTCAGACTAAAAAACCCCACAGTTCACGAAATTCTGACTCTAAAAATGCAAACCAAAAATTGACGAAATCAAATGAAATTCGAAAAAAAATTCAAGACTCTAAAAATTCAAACTCTAAACATTCGAAAAAAATTAACGAGAAATCAAAATCAAACCAAAAATCGAACAAAATATAAACAAAGTTCACGAAAATTCGAATAAACTAAATGAAAACTAAATAAAACCCAAAATCAGCAAAAATCGAACCAAAACTATAAAAAAAAAAAAAAAAAAAAAAAAAAAAAAACGCAAACAAAAATTGAATTTTAGATTTATAAATCTACAACATTGCCACTAAACTTAATTAAACCCAAAATCGAAATTAATTAAAATCAAATCCAAATTCAATACGAAATCAAACCCAAAACTAACATAAATTATAACAAAAATTAATCCCAAAATTAAAAAAAAAAAAAAGGTTTTCAAACTCAAACAGAAACAAATCAACATTCGACCATAGAAATTCGAATAAAAAATCAACCAATAATCAAACCAAATTCGAACAAAAAAAAACCAAAAAATTACAAACACCAAAACATTTCTAAAACCCCGAATCGACTTTGATTTTGGTTTTTAAAGGCCAAATTTGACCTTAAAAAGTCTAGATCTACAGTATTCATGGTCGAATTTGACCTTAAAAACCATTAACTTGCTTGAATTTGGTGAATTTTTTTGCACAAAATGATGGATTTGAAAAGGAAAGAGAATGAGAAGGAGAAAAGTAAAGAGAAGGAGAAGAAGAAAACGGATAAGACGAATGAGGGGCGGAAATTCAGAGAAAGAGAAGGAAAAAAGGAAAGAGAAAAGAAATAGAGGAAAAGAGAAGAGAGAGAAAGGAAACAGAAAGAGAAGGAAAAGGGTTAGGGTGTTTTCCGCACTCCTTTTATACCCTTTTTTAAAAAATAAAAAATAATCATGTTGCGACCGCTTATAATGGTCGCAATAGTCGCAATTTGCGACCGTTTTTGGCGGTCGCAGTAGTATTATTTTAATTTATAATTATTTTTCACATATATTTTATTTAAAGAAAATGATAAAATACCTTTGCGACCATTAAATAGGAAATAAGCAGACGCAAATCTACGACCGCTTTTAGAAGCGGTTACAAAATTGTGATTGTATCAAAATTGGTAGCAAATTTTATATTGTGTGACCGTTTTAATAACAGTCGTAAAAAAACGATCGTAATTTGGCTGAATTTTAGTAGTCACTAAACCACTAGGCGGCTTCCCTTTAATTACACAAAAGTAAAAACCATACTAGAAAGAAGATAAAACCGGCAACCAAAGGAAACCCCAACCTTATTGCCATCAATTTAAGAACTTCAGAGAACGATGACGGGTGAGTAAGAAGATGAGCAGGTCGGTGATGAAGGAAACATGAACTCCACTTCGTCTTCACCTACAGGACAAAGAGATAACTGGTGGCTCAAAGAGGATGCCGAACTACCTGTGATCCTTGATACAAGTCGCCAAAGGTACCGAAGAAGAAACCCCAATTGAAACCCTAACCTACCTGTACTCCGAAAAATCGAAGCGAATGGATTGGTGGTAGGAGAAACAAGGTCTAACAAAGCGCAACCCTTCAAAGACTACTCGCCGACGACCTTATAAGAGCAGCAACGCTTAGGTCACCGGCGGCAGGGGAGAGCACGAGGTGGGGGTGTGGCTCTGTTTTGAGGAGAGAAGGCAAAGTTTTTTTAAAAAAAAAAGTCGTAAAAGGGAATTAAGTTTTACTAGCTTGATTTCATATTATTTGCAAATTACAATTTTTTATCAAAAATAGATATTACATATTATTTGCAACAAATGTTTTCCTTCCTTTTTAGGTTGTCATTTCTCTCTATCTCTTGACTCACCACATGCATCCATATTTTTTCTCTCTATTTTACACTCACAAATAAATTTTACCTAAAAGTCCGTGCATCTTCAAAAATTGCAATAAATGCAATAGAGGTAGTAGTATTTGCTTATTTAACTGTCACACTGGAGTATTTCTGAAAGTAGGAAACTAGTCCCCAGACCACCAAGCTACCCTGTTGAAAGGTCTGTACATACATAAATAATTTGTTTTCAAAAAGGTAGCTTGGCTGCTTGGGGACTAGTTTCCAACTCATTGTTACTAGTAAATTGAGGATGAAGCAAATAGGTACGTGGACGAAAGTAGAGGAGACGACGGTGGTGGTGTTTGTGATCTAGGAAGGCAGAAGAATGAAGGAGTATGGAATTCAAAGAAGGGAAGGAAGAGGGGATCGGGGGGAGAAACACCATAATTGGCAAACCCCTGAGTGTGTTCTATAATTGTAATAGTACTCCCTATGTGGGTCCTGTTTATATAGTGTTATTTCAACTTTAAAAAAATCGAAATTACTATTTATTTAATTTTTAAAACAAGTTCTGTAGCTAAGAATTAGCTTTATCAGCTTTAAACGGTATTTTTTTCAACTGGTAGTTTTTTTTTTTATATCAAATAAATACTTTATTAATGAAAAGACATACATCAAGTGAAAAAGAAATTTGGATCTTACACACCAAATTAAGACTTAGAGAACAATGAATTTGTTTTAACTATATAAGAATTTTGTTTTATTCATTTATTTAGTCTAAAATTGATATTTGTTTTGATTCAGCAATTATCTTTACCAATGAATCAGTTTGCATTGTCATAAACTTATACAAATATGGTAATGCAAGATAGAGAATGGTGAGGGTATTAAACATGTCATTAACGCAAAACATGTAAGCTAAGTCTTTATCACTGTTATGTTAATGTGGATGGATAGAGCTGAGTCTAGCAAAACCGCCCACAGTTTTCTGTTCCTCAATTCCAGCAGCCAGCAAAACATAACCCCACCCTTGAAAGACAAATAACAAACAAAACAGACTACATGCATAGCTTGTAAAGCTATTATAATTGACAGACAAAATAAATATTAAAAAAAAAAGAAAATGAAAAAAAGTCTAATTTCAAAATAAAGTTAAAACTATTTTCAGCGTAAAGTGACCAATGAATTGAAGCCAAAGAAAGAATCGAGGAAGAGGGTGTGGAAGGAAAGGGAGAGAAACAGAAAAAGAAGGGACCGAAAAACTCGTGAATATATATTGAATAGTGTGTGCTACAGTTGTAAACTTTAGCGTATACTCGGTAATCTGGTAGTCGTTGCAACATGGCATCATCCTATATTTGTATGTGTTAATTAAAATTGAAAAAAAATAATAATTTACTAAGTAAAACAAGCTTATTTGGCAAAAATCATTTGTATTTATTTGGTAAAGATAATTTTAAACAATATTCGTAATAATAAGTGACAAATTATAGCATGTGTGAATGTGCTTGACAATCGTTGGAAGATGTGGAATAATTGATATTGAATAATAAGGGGCAAAGCACAAGTTTGCCAATATGTTTTGATAGAACTTATAAATCATTCATGGATTTTCAACGAAAGGCGGCATAATTCGCGCAAGACAATTGTGATTTTAAATATCCATCAAGGTTACATCGAATCCATTCACAATCTATGAGATTGCTAACCACGAAATGGTTTTGAACCACAACTGGATATTCGAGGATTGATTAATCAATCAAAGAATCAGTCCCATTAGTTGGGTCGGCTACATGAACCAAAAGTGATTATTCTGTGTAATCATCGACAAAAATCTTCCTCCTCCATCCCTTACAATCCAATGCTCATGCAAATCCATATACTTCATATCCTAATTCCTTACTGATTCCAACCAAGTTAAGGTCATCCTCGGGGATAGATGAAGGAACAAAATTGAGTCAGGATGTCAAATATGCCCATATTGACCTCTACTCGGTTCTTACAAAGACATGTATTATTTGCAATTGAAAAGACTTATTACTCAATCTTCTCTAAATTAAACCAAATTATGCTAAGTCGGTTGAATACTTGAATATATATTAAATGCATGTATGTGTAATAGCTTTTATTGTGATCACTTGATTAAACAACATATAATTAATTAATGGGATCCTATCTAACAAATTGTCCTTAATTATTTTATTAGCTAAGGCGTGATATTCAAATATCGATCTTGATTCACATGTAATATTGTGATTAGACAAAAAAAGAAATAGAAATTATATATAGCACATAAACACGTGACAAATCAATATAGGAAGCAACCTAACATAATTTTAATTGTTAAATTAGCCTTAACATGATACTAGCAAATTCAAAATAAATAAATAAATCAATTAAAATTAAGAGGATTAATTATTTACGCTGAATGGAGCTCTTTAAATTGCTACATTATGAATAAATTGTTAGTAACTTCACGGCTCACACAATTTATTAAAAAAGTTAGATCAAATTATTTGATTCACTATGACTAAAAACAAAAGAATTAAATCAAATTAAATAAATTAAAAAGGTTAGATCACCCTCAAGATTATACCTTCACGGCTCACACATGGTCGAAAGGTAAAACCTACAAATCTTAAAGATTTGAATTGGTTGAATAGGGTTAGTAATATAGCTAAAAAAATGGCATGGTTAAACTTTACATCAAAGCCGTTAGGTAATTACGAAGCCTTATTTTAAAACTCACCTAGATCTAGGTGAGTAATCTTCAAAGCTTTTGCGATTATGCATGGAGTCTTATCTTAATTCATTCGTCTTTTTTTTTTTTATAAATTTGTTTGTTCCATTAGAGTCATTATTATACTTCTTAAATTTGTTGGTTGGAAAGAATTGGTTTAATAATTAATAAGGGTGGTTTGGTAAGATCTTTTGGAATGAGTTGTAATGTTTCATTCATTTTATTACTTCTTTAGGCTTTTTAGAATAGGAACTTCGTATCTAGCGAATTATAATTACACTATTTCCTTAATATTCACCACGTTCCGTTAATGAAATGTAGACGAAACAATTTTAACAAAAAAAAATTTCGAGCTAGTAATCCATATCTTTTTTGTATGAGATTTCATATCAATTTATGTTATTTTATCGAATCAAACGACTCATAATAATAATACTTTTATGAATTGAAATGGTTAACCAATCTTGTACTTTTTTTAATAGAATAATTGAGTTATACTTGATAATTATCATTTAAATGGACTGGGGTTGATGGCTTTTTTTTTTTGGAAGAGACAATAAAGAGACAATAAAGAATTAGTGCAAGTGGGATTAACAGAGAAAAACCATAATAATAATGAATTATTTCATACCAAAATAGAAATTGTTGCAACCGCTAAAACATCAAGCAAATGAAAAAGGCAAATGTAGTAATATTCATTCGAATATCTGATACTCGTATCACAAATCTTTTAATCCTTATCTTGTCACATCAATCATACTATATACTAAAGTAATCATCAGAGTTATCCCTTAAATACACGTGTCACATTCACAATAAAAATTTTCCCGCCTAAATATTTTTATTTTTATTTTTTAAAAAAATTTCTCACTTTTTTTTCCCTTAAAATATACGGAGTAACATGATAAAAAATTTAATAATAAAAACTTACTCCGTGCAATAATTTTTAAAATATTTTAACAATGTATTTAACAGGAGAATTTTAAGGCCCTAGCCATTAAATTAATTCAAATTATATATAATTCAGTTTATTTAAGCTAACTCTATTTTAATTGACTTTTATTAGAGCAACTTCTTGGACAAGCTAATTGCCAAATTAGTTTGCCATGTCACTTAGGATTGCAAAGCTATTCTTTCTTCTAGCTAATTCATACCACAATGGTTAGGCTAATTAGCATTTAAATTTTTCAGCTTTATTTTTTAAATAATTAGTATTTTATTAGAGACAATTAATTTCTAAGCTAATTAGCTTAGTTAAGCTAATTTGCTTGGCATTAGCTTGGCCAAACTAATTATCAAAGTATCCTCCAATGGTTTGGCTATTAGCTTTTATTAAAATTGCAAGCTAATCCTTAAAAGCAACCATTGAAGTTGCTCTTATATGAATTCGTGCATTTGCACGGGATATAACTAGTTTTAAATAAAACAATTCACTATTTGTTTCACATTATATTTTCTTGTGCGCATTAAAAATCTGATACTTAATACTTTATATGTAAGTTTGAAAACATTTTAGGTAAAAATAAATTTGAAAAATTGATACATGCATGTATTTGGCTTTCATTAGTTTGCTTAAAAAATGGTCAAATTGATTAAATGGATAAATGTAACCTTATTCTATCATAATTTTAGCGCCATATATAACACAATAATCACACAATGTCTAGCATAAGAACAATAAAACCCTTTCAAATTACTAGTTATCTCAAAACTAGCTAGACATGAGCCTTATTTTCAAACTCATATGAGAAGGATTAAATCAATGGCAGGTCTGAAACACTCTCTGATGGTTCTGCTGCCTTCGGAGTCGTTGTCGAAGGAGCTACAAACTCCGTAGCTGGTTTGAAATAGACCCCAATGGAGTTGATGCGATCAGAGTCACAGGTTCCATGAAATCCGCCGAATTGATTGAACCCTCCTAGATCATACCAGAACCATTGCTTGTCATCGGATTCTGATGCTTTTCCGAATAAGTATGTCATCTTGTTTGTTGAAACTGTTAGTTCTTCTACACCCGAGTCGCTGTACCAACCTCGTACCATAGTTATGTACTCATTCGGATAGTCCAGTTTAATCTGTAGTTCACATAACAAAATCCAATGATTATATTGATCATAAATTCTTGAATTAAATTACAATATTTATTTCGGTTTTACTTTTTATTCCTTCAGAAATATCAATATAAACAATTTTTACTATAACTTAATTAGAGACATAGATTGAGTTTTAAGAACTAGCTATGGTTTTGATACAAATTTTCAATAATCCTAAATCAATTAATTGAATCTTGCTCTGGGTCCGTTTGACATTAATATGGTTTTCTATTTACCGATTTTTGTTTTATTTTCAAAATCATATAATGAATTTAAAATTTGGTCAAACTCATTCTAATCTTAATAAAAAAAAAAATTAAAAAAATTAAAAAACAGCTTTTGTTTCATGTTTTTGGTTTTATTGATTATTGTTTTTCAAAATCATATAACACTATCCTTTCAAAAAAAAAAAAAAAAAAATTCATATAACACTAAAATAGTTTTTTTTTGGTTTTTTATAAATAAAATAAAAAAAATGATATTATCAAATAAAATCTAATTTAGGGTTTAGATTTATTAATCCAAATAATAACTCCGTTAACATTTACTTGCAACTTTGGAATATTTTATGTCTCTCATATAATACCCAAAGTTGCAAGTAAATGTTAACGGAGGTAGTATTTGGATTAATACCCAAAGTTGCGAGTGAATGTTAACGGAGGTAGTATATGTTTCTTCTAGATAAATAAATGTCACGAATATGAATATGATATAGAAAGAATTTGTTGGAACAAGTGTGTTTTGGTGTAAATTTTGTGGAAAACAAAAAGTCCCACATTGGTGGGAAATAGAAGTTTGTCCTCCCTTATATTGGAGAATGTGGAGTATTTGGGTGTGGCCCTTGGGCTACCCACATTTTGTGGAGAGGGAGGACTTACCTACCAAGCCCACTTATCACACACGCGCGCCGAACCGAGCCGGGCCGGGCCGGGCTGGGCTGGGCTGGGTCAGGTCGGGTTTATTAATTAAACTTAATTTTTGCTCAGTTTTTGAACAAGGCTTAATTACGTAATTAGTGCCTTGATTTTTGCTAAACGGTTTTGACTGGTTATCTCTCTAACGTTTATTTCCAGATTAATTAAACTTTCGCCGTTTTACTAGCTGTTTTGACTGGGTAAATTAACGTTTTAATTGACCGTTTTTGGCGTTAATCACGCTGGTGTTGGAACGGTTTTTGCTACCGTTATACCATTGTTTTGCCTATAAAACATCATGTTATGTTCACTGTTTTTATATAACAAAAAATCACAGAATTTTCTAATCCCTTTTTTCTCTTACAAAATATTCGAGCAGTGTTCTTTATATTTTTTGGTGGTTAGTTGTCCACTGGTTCTGTGCAAATCCACTGGTATTTTCCTTGCTTAGACAGACTGTTTTATCCTGGGGAACATCCGGTTGTTGTACGAGCTGCTTGCACACATTATAGGGCAGTACCGTGAATGTTCTAAAGAGAGCGACATAGTCCGCGACTCAGTCTAATTCCCGGTAACTTTGTTCTGTTTTTATTGTTTACAGCAGTTCGGTTTATAACAGAATTAAATTAGATGATTCATAGTAAGAGATCGAACTGCGCAAAATCCAGATCCAACGAACTCGGGGTTGCCGAACACCTCAGACAACTTCAACCTCCCATTATCATCTTCATCAATGTAGTGAAACTGAAGTGAGTTAATCTTTTGAGGTTCGTACGAAACGATGAATTGAACGATGGCATTACAACCCTTAAGGTCCCATACTTTCCCTTGCTTGTTGCCGGATGGTCCAACTTTGTTCATTAGTTTTGACGTTTTCATGTTCATCGTATAATAACTCGCGAGATTGTTGAACCCTAAAAGAGCTGAGATTTTTCTATTACGAAATATGGAATATGACGGATGGGTGACTAATTTTCAACCCCTAGTGTTGTATTTATAGACAAATTAGTGGGCTTTTAGATTGGGTTGGTTGAGGAATTAACTCTTCGTGTTAATGAAGTTTCGGCCCAACTTGCAATTTTGAATAATATTTATCTGTATAAAAATTTAACGTTTCTTATTTTCAACTTTTATCCATTAGAATTTGTTATCCCACACCCGTACAAGGTTAGTGTTTGCAAGAACAAAATACTTATTGGTGTACGGTATATCCGGGTGTATATAACAAGTTTTCTTTATTTGTAGCACTAAAAAAAACACAACGGAATATATTTAACTGTCTTTTTATTTTTGTTTTTAATTTTTGTTGGGTTAGATGTTTTTTTTTTTATTTAAAAAAAAAATTGAAGGAAAGATTAGATAGTTTTGTAAGGTTATTTTTGTCAAGAGAATTTTCCCAATCAAAAAGGGGTGTGCTCTTACAAGATTATCATAGGTAGTGGAATCATGCAAGCCTTGCAACTTTGCAAGTGTGCAAGTGTGTATATTTCTTATTTTTCCCAACATTACTGAATTGTAGTTTGATTCAATAATGTCACTTCAAAAAATTTGATGTTTGGAGTACTTTTGATTTGATTTGACTATTTACTCCTTCCATATTTTATTACTCGCACCATTTCTCCACACGCGAAGTTTAAAGAAAAATAGTAGAAAGTAATAAAATATAAAGGAAGTAGGGTTGGTGGAAGAGTGAAGCTAAGTACAATAGTTGACAGGAGAAATAATTTGAAAGAGTGAGTCTGGGCGCATAGCGCCTATGGGCGAGCTATGTAAATAGGAGGGTAAGGAAGTAATTTCAGCTGATTCAATTTTTGCTTCTAGAATAAGCCTACTCTTTAGTGGTACATTATAATGTCTAATAATGTACCATTATGCATGCATAATGTACCACTAAAATATAAGTTATTTGAATAATACTATTTGTGGACTATTACGAGTGTAGTGATACTTTTTACCATCCTATAAGTTTCAACTTATAGAAAAAACTAAATCTCTAGTAATACATTATAATGTATCATTACGCATGTATAATGTACCACTAAAGTATAAGTTATCTGAATAGTACTTTTTAATTGCAATTTTGTCATCCTATATGCGCTGAAATCAATAGGCACTATGTGCCGAGACTTAACCAATTTGAAAAATTTAAAGAATGATAGTTGATAGATGAGAGAATTTGAAAATGTTAAAATATGATTATTTTGGATCCATTAGAAGAGAAAAAAATAGTAAAATATTATGAAAGGTATCTAAAAAAGGAAAATGGAGTAAATAATAAAATATGGTTGCAATAGAAAAGTGGTGCAAGTAATAAAATACGGAGGGAGTACTACTTAATTTTTATTTTTTAAACTTAATTGTTTTCCCTTTTACCAAATTTTGTAAATTTTATGATGTTATACAATGTATTGATTGTATGTTTTTGGATTCAACTAGTATTTAGCCACACTGTGTGGCCAACCACTATAGGGATTACTTTAGTGTAATGGGGGTTACTTTATCAGGTGTTAAAGGGGTTACTTCATCATTGTTATAAAGTTACTCAGTCAGTGTTATAGGGGTTACTTGATTGATATTACATGGGTTACTTAATCAATGTTATAGGGGTTACTTTAAGTGGGGATGTGGCCGGCCGCACACAAGACGAGCCGTAATCTTTTTGACTAAATATATGCTTTGAATTGAAGAATTGTACTATTGTAGTATTGTGTATTTGAATTAGTTTTCATAATTTTTTTTTTTAAATCAAACATGTAAATATTATTCTTTGTTAAATAATGGAATATTTTCTCATTTATTTATTAATGGGTTAAAAATTATGTGATATCTATTAACATTTACTAAAACAAAACATTGTTGACATCATCATCTCTTAATTATCCTATGTGTCATTCTCTCATTAAAAAGTTTCCCCCAATTTCTATTGATGATATGATGTCATTAAATATCATTATTATTTTAATTCTTTTTAACAATTATTATTTTAATTTACATTATACATTTTTATCAAAAAATAATTACCACTCATTTTTACACAAATGATAAAATTAATTAGTTTTGTATTTATTTAATGGATGGAAATTGTATCTTTTTACTCATATAAGGAAATATCTTTCCAAACCCACCGCTCCCTCAATCCCTAAAAAATTTTGAGATACACCAATAATAACAAAACTTTTTTTATTTTCGTTTTTTGTAAAAAAATAAAAATAAAATCAAAACTTTCCTTTCCTTTCCTTTTGTTTTCTCACCTCATACTCTCTCTCCTCATTTTTCTTCTTCTATAAATACAGCTACATAACCCACCGCTCACGTATTACATCTTTCTAAAATTCACCGCCATAAAATATCTTCATTGCTTGTATTCACAATGGAAGATCAAACCCTAAATTTTCCCGAAGATTTCTTAGTCGATCCAATAATCAAGAAAAGAGCCGGAAAGCGGAAGATTGAGAAGAAGCCTATCATCAACAAAGCAAGCAGACAAGTTACATTTACGAAGCGGCGAGGCGGGTTGTTTAAGAAGGCGGCTGAGTTATGTTCTTTATGCGGTTCCGAGGTTGCCGTCATCACTTTCTCCGGCGCTGGTAAACTCTACTCCTTTGGTCACCCGAATGCCGACACGATTGTTAATCGCTATATTAATTATACGGCGGGAATAATAAATGGTGGTAATGAGAATGAGAATAATTACTTTGGTACGGGTGGTGTACCTTCTGAGCAGTATAAGAGGGTTTTAAGTGATATTGAGGTTGAGAAGAAAAGGACCAATGGGATTAGTCCACATGGTGATAATTGCGAGGTCGGGTTTTGGTGGGATAAGCCGATTGATAATTTAGGGCTTTTGGAGCTTGAAGAATTGAAGGTTTCTCTCGAGGGCTTACGTGATCAAGTTTCTTCTAGGGTTAATTCGATTAATAATAATATTAATTGTTCTTCCAATAATTCGACTAGTCAATTTTCTGACTTGGTTTAATTTTGATCGAAGAAAATTAGGGTTTTATGTAAGATTCCTAGTACTCTAGTAATATTACTATTAGATATTTAGCGGTACAATTAATATTCTTTAGTATCTCAATTTTAATCGATCAGTTTAAAGTAGTAAATTCGATTTATATTACTACTATAAATTTGATCAAATTTTGTAACCTCGGCTATGAGATACAATTTGTTTTTGGTGATGAATTTGTTATATCTATCTAAATCATTCGATCTATGATTGCAGCGATATTAATTTCTTGAGTGGTCGTTAGATTTATCATTATTGATGTATAATTGATTTTTGGGTAATTGATTGATGTTTCTATTGATACTTTGAGTGTGAGTACAATGGTATATCGATCAGTTTAGTACTTATTCTTACATTTTGGTATAGATCAATGTTGAAACAGTAGCTTGTATTCCATTTTAATTAATGGTCTGAATTATTACAACAGATGAATAATTTGCTGTTCTTTGTTCTCCGACAAATTTATACCAAAAGATTAAAACAAATATTGCCTTGTTAGTTTGTTCCTTTTTTTCCCCTTTTTTTAGGGTTGAAATTTCTGTATGATTTTGTGTTCTGCCGCCATAAGTTTTTGTTCTGCGCCGTCATAGATTTATGTAGTTTTTTTTTTTTTTTTAGGAAGTATAATTAGAAAGGTCATATAATAACGGGTTGTGTAATAAAGAGTCGTGTACTCGTGTGTAATTATAAATGTTCAAGTGCGGAGAAGCCTAAATTGGAGAGCCAATTAAGTATACCCGAGGTCATTTGCTCATTCAACTAACAAATAAGTAACAATATTAATTACTCATTTGTTGATTGAATGAGCAAATGACCCAGGGTGTATATAACAAATTTTACCTAAATTGTCAATTAATAGGGGGTGTTAATTAATTTATGGCCAACAGATTAAGCTAGTTTATAATTAGTGTTATTTAAAGTCAAATTGGTTTTTGATGTAAAAAGCTTATATATATATTAAGATAATTGAAATCACATTAGTAATAGTACTGATGAAAAGACACAAAATTAGATTATCATAGTCAACAAAATTAAAGAATCGTTCCTCAAAAAAAAAAAAAAAAAAAAAAAAAAAAAAAAAAAAAAAGCATTGTCAGTAAAATAGTCTCTTAATATCACACGAATATTCTTTGATATTTTATTAATTTCATATCTCTAACACTAACACAGTACATTTAAACATCCTCTTTACCTTTGTTGCCATCATCACCACCATTTTCACCGTTGTTATGAGCGTCAATGTTGTTGTCCTCATCATCAACTCCATCATCATTAGTACGAACTCGTTTTCGATTAGCAACGATGTTGTTTCGAGTACCAAAAGCAATAACCGGCGTAAAAGTAGTAAAAGGCTTGAAATAAACACTGATTGAAGAGAGATATTGATCATCACTGGTGCCAAGGAAATTGATTACGTAGCCCAATATATATGTTTCTCTCCCAGTAAGGTCACGATAAATTGTGCCAAACGGTCCGTAAGTGGCTTTGTTTGTATGAATTGATAATCTATTCACGTAAGAGAAGCTGCATTCTACGGTAACTCCAATTATCTTCTCTGATGGAAAATCAATTAAGTTGCACCTAAATTTTCCAAAAAAAACTAAATAAATAAATAAATAAATAATAAAAAGTATAAGAACAAGTGAAAGGCAACTAACTATGTCGTGCAATAGGGAAAAAAAAGGTATAGTGTTCCAGGCTTAAAATTAAGATTTTCATGTATGTCTAACTAATTTAATAAAGTACGCTAGCTAGATGCAAAATAGAAATAAAACTAATACTCTGTAAAATAAAATAAATAAATAAATAAATAAATAAATAAAATTGTAAATAATGATCCCAACTTTGTAACATTTTCATTTAATAATCCAAACTTTAGATTATGCTAGAATTGAATAATTCCAACTTTGGGGATACTGTTTACTTTTTTCAATTCCAAATCGGTCAACAAAAATCAATGACTTGCCATCATAAGTTATGTGACACGTGTCACATTGTGATTGATCCAAAAAAGAAAAAAAATTAAAAAAACTTAACAAAAATGAAGCCCCTACCTAGCCCTTCCACCACCGCCCACCGGAATCCCAAACCTCAGCCGCCCCAATTTCCCTTGGTTGTTTGTAGAGTTTTAGAAGAGTTGGTTGACTTTGGTTGTTTATTTGAAGCATGGTAGATTTTAGTATTAGAAAACTACTGTTTACGAAGCTTCTCATGGCTTCGGCCTTCGGGATTCCATCACTTCATGGAACGCACGGTAATATTAACAAAAATTTTGTGAAATAAAATATCTCAACTTACCCGATTTTTGGTATGCACCATGTTATACTGTGCGTATTTAGTGTGGAGGGGCACTAAATAAAATGTTTGTATAAGGGCTTGAACCTAAGACTTTTAGTCCAAACTCAATGCATTACCACTATGGCAAAGCTAATTTGATGTTATTTATTACATAAAAATTGTATTTAACCTATAAATTTATATATTTACTTAAATAAAAAAATAAAAAATAAAAAATTTGGGGGGGCCGGTGCCACCCAGGCGCCTTCATAGATCCGCCTATGTGTGCGGTAAGGATTACTTAAGTTTCTCGATCAAGGGTTACACTAGTTGCCGGGGTTACTCTAGTTGCCGGGGTTACTCGAGTTTTTCAGTCAAAGGTTATTTGGTCAGTATTTACTCGAAATGCCGGGTTCTTCGAGTTTCTCGGTTAAGGGTTACTCAAGTTCACTACTAGAAAACGGGCAAATTCTGACGGACTGGTTCCGACGGACATGTCATTCCGTCGGAAAATTTGAAATTTTCGACGGATTTTTTTCCGTCGTATATTTCCGACGAATTTAAGCAATCCGTCGGAAATTTCCGACGGAATATAAATCCGTCGAATATTTGTACTTTCCGACGGAATATTTCGTTGGAAATGGTCATTTCCGACGGATAAATATTCCGTTGGAAATTTCCGTCGGAATATAAATTAAAAAAAAAATTCTTTAAACCCTAACCCTAACCCCCTTTTCTCTTCCGTCCCATTTTTCTTTCCCTCTCTTCTTTCCAGTCTTTCTCTCTCTATCCCGCCTTTTCTTTTCCTTCCTCTATTCTCTTTCTCTCTCCTCCTGGTCCGCCTTTTCTTTTCCTTCCTCTCTTCTCTTTCTCTCTCCTCTTCCTTCCTCTTTTTTCTTCTCCATCTTTCCTCTGTTCTCTCTGTCCGCCTCTTTCTTCTCTCCTCTTCTTTCCCCTCTTTCTTCTATCCTTGACCAACAACAACCAACACCACCGTACCGCCACCACCAACAACCAACAACAACGGAGACCACAACACCACAATCACCGTGCAACAACAACGACGGCCACAACAACATCAGCTACGCACAACAACGTCAATTGCGAGAATCGTCAACCGCACAATTGCACAAGTATTGTAGATCTTGTTTAATTCAGAATAGGTTGTAGATCTAGTTTTATTTTTTGATTAATTTCTGATTGTGTTTAAATTTTGAAGTAATTGTAATATTAGGTTATAAATTTTATGGATAATTGTATATTTATTTACTTAATTTTACTGTAATTCGTTTTCCCCTGTTTCGATTTTTTTTTTTACTTAATTTCGGAATTAGATCTACTGGTTTCGATTTGGTTTGGTGCTAATTTCGTATTATTTGTGGTATATGTCGATTTATTTTTTGTGGACGGAGGTTAGGGGCTGGTGTGAGGTGAGGCCGTAAGGCTTGTGGAGGTTGGGGCTGGTGGGAGGTTGGGACTGGTGTGAGGTGAGTCCGTGGGGCTGATGCTGGTGTGGGCTAGTGGTACGGGTTAGGGGGCTAGTGGTGTGGGCTAATGCTGGTGTGGGTTGGTGGTACGGGTTAGGGGGCTAGCAGTGTGGGCTGGTGGTGGGGGTGGTGGGAGGCAATTTTTTTTGTTTTTTTAAAACCATTTAACGACGGAATTTCCATCGCATTTTTCCGATGGAATACGGTCCGTCGAAAATTTCCGACGGACTGTTTCGGGCCTGAAAATCACTTATGACGGACTGAATTCCGTCGGAACAGTGTTTTCGACGAAAATTCCGTCGAAAAAGGCCATTTTCCTACAAATGATATTCCGACAACTAGTTCCGACGGAATTTTCGTCAGAAACGTGTTTTCCGACGGAAATTTTCTATCGGTATTTGACTGTTTTCTAGTAGTGGTTGTCGGGGTTACTCGAGTTTCTCGGTCAGGAGTTGCTCAAGTTACTCGGTCAAGAGTTACTTGAGTTACTCCTGACCGAATAACCCCTCAAGGAACCCTTGACGGAGTAACCTCTTGAGTAACCCCTAGCTGAGTAACCCCTGACTGAACCCTCAAGTAACCCCTGACCAAACTCCTTAAGTAAAACCTAATTTAATTACTCGAGTAACTTCTGACCGAACTCTTTAAATAACCTTTGACCAAACACTACTACAAAAACACCCTATGGAGTCGCCCTTTTAGAGTCGCCTCAAATTAATAGGTGATGCGTAAGGTTTTAGAGTCGCCTCTTACAAAGTATGTGACACCTAAGGATAGATAAAAGACATCAAAAAATGAGTTGAAAGGAATAGACATCACCTACACTATAACAAGCGACACGTAAACTATACGCGTCTCGTCTTTCATTAGGTGTGACTCATAAAGTATTACTTTACAAGTCGCATGTAGTATTTTACTATTACAAGCAATGACACCTATGCCCAGTTTTGTTTTTTTTTTTTTTTATTTTCTCACATGGGATACCTCCCTGACTCCTCTCTTGCGCCTCTCCCTCTCTCATTTTCTCTTGCCTCCCTCACCCAGTCGCCCTCTCTCTATCTCTTTGTTCCCATATCTCTAATATCTGATCTCTATCACTCATCCTCCTTCATTCTTAACTAGATCACTACCATCTTCACCACCGCTAGCCCACTCTCACCTTTCTTCTCTCTCCGTATTCACTAGGGGTTGCGATGGTGGCGATGATGGCGACAATGATGCTTCAATTTTTAGGGTTTCGGTTGATTTTTTTTGGGCATGAGGAGTTTCTTCAAA